TGCAGTTAAAACGAGGAAGTGCCTATGATTTTGCCTACTGTTCTCCTTCATGCAGCAGTCAATTTCTTTTATTCTGCCTTCAAAATTGCACCTGTTTCTTCAAGGAGTTTATAGCCATGCAGAGCCTGAGGTGTGATGTACCTAGAGATGAACACTAATCAGAAAGGGGAAAGCTGTAAGCTATAAGAAGTAGGTCTTTGTGTTCTGGATAATAGGGATAAAAAGTCAAAGGATTGAAGTCAGACACTGCTGAGTAGTTGGTATCTGGGGGTTTGGATCTATTCAGAGTAGCCTTGGGTGACAAAAGAGATAGAAAGTCTTTCCACTTTCTGACTGGTATCAGTCCAGCTTGGAAGATGACACCTATGCAATATTCATTCTATCATTCACTGCTCTAGTTCAACCTCCTATTTTCTGGCTTACATAGCAAATTTGCCAAATGCTTCCCGGGCTAGCAGGTAGGAAGTAGTGATTATTGTCAATCTGTAAGAGTGCTGTAAATGAGAGCTTTTTTTCTTTTTTCATTTCCCAGAGAGAAAACATGAGTTAAAAAAACCTGTCCTTGCAGCTAGCTAAGTACAGTGAGAGCCATGACCATGCTGTAATCTCTGATGAGTTTTGTTGCAATTTAGCGAAGCATTTAAGTGCTTGTCTGCAAGTTTGTTTGATTTAGTCATACTCTGGAGAAATGCCTTTTGAAAGAAGCTACTCTGTATATCAGGGCCTTGGGAAATAGCCATGAGGTAAATCAGGGTGCTGTGCTGTACACGTATGGTTCCGGTTGCAAAACATGGAAGGAGGAAATTTTGCTTCTCTGGAACATATGAGAGCCCAGGAAGATATCAGGAAAATGTTAAAGTAGAAGTTGTTTTGGAGAAGTGACATAAAGCAGCTCTGAAAGGCTGGTGAGTCCAGCAGCTGCCTTGCCAGCAGTATCTGCCAGAGAGGTGAGCTGGGGCAGGCATGAGAACTCATGTATTTGCCGAGGTCTGCTTGCTGAGGTGTCAGTGAACATGCCTGGTAGACACACAGAACATACACAGGTTCACAGAACACAGCTGCCTAGGCTGTGCATACTCTCTACAGTTTTCTTCCTGTTTTGTAAATACCAGAAACTTTTGACAGGCTCTGTTTGAGGGTCTGTGGGGGCAGCATGTCCTTGGTCAGATGTATGCTGTATGACTGGGTTGGTGTCTGTTACTCCCTAAAGAAGGAAGATGATGTCTGGCTCATTAGTAAAGGTTAGGACAAACATAGCTCTCTTTTCACAAGGCAAAAGCCTGGGGCATTTGTTATCCCTGCCCCAATCTGGACTGCTGCTTTTGTGTGTTCTGCTCTTTGGCTGCAATGATCCCTAGAGATGTGCTTAGCAGTGAAATCTCATAAAAACCTGCACAGGGCAGGTGTTAATTTTCAGAGGTTTTGACCCAATCTTGTTGGCATTTGGGCCAGGGAGCAACAAATGTGTTTCCTCAAGCCAGGTTTTTGCTGTTTCTGAAACACATTGAGCTAGATGAGGAAAAAAATATTACTTCTGAAAAACTGGGGAGGCGGCTGCAGGAAGTATGCAGCCTCTTCGCATTGTATTTGGAGTCATTTTCTGGCTCAAAATGTAAGAGAATATTTTATTCATAGCAGGAAGAAAAGAACAAGTCAAAGAATAAGACAGGGGCTTTGGCCAAATCATATAAGAAGTGCTTGGTGACTGCAGGAACCAGTATCAGCATTCGTTTGTGTACAAAAGTGGAGTTGTGTCTAATTCTGCTGAACAGGGAGGAGAAATATTAACTCTTTCTTTTGCTTTCTTTCTGCAGAGTGGTCTTGAAATCTCTTGATAACTCTCACCTAAAAATTAGCAAGTGCCTCCAAATTGCCAGAAATGCCCATCTGTTCACCTTTGGCTGTCTGCCTTTGGTTCAGAGCACCTATACACTTCAGAGAAGATATGTTTTTAGAAATAGTGAAAACTCCAAACTTGGAAATACTTAATCATATCTCTCTGAATGGCACAGTGAAGCTCAAGTTAGTGGTGAGGACCTCTCTTTGCTAGCTCAGTGTCAGTAGGATGAGGCATGAGTATTGTTTGTGTTCATATCTGTTGTATTGCTCTGAGAAACTTACTTTCTTGGAACATTGTGACCTAGGGTAGCTACCTGTGTAGCATCAACATGAAGTGAATTGTACCATAATGTTTGACCTGCTTGTGTATTGTTTGGTAAAGTCAGATTTCCAGAGAGCTGAATATTAAGGATCTTCAAATAAGACTTCCAGATTCGAAAAAGAGACAGTGGATGACAGAATGAAGAGTGGGATATGCTCATGGTATTGCTCATGCGAATTCAGCTGTGGCATATGCACAAGACTAATTTCAACTCTTCAGTTTCCAAATTATTTTTGGTTTGGGTCAGCATTAAGGCTATCTAAATGTTACTGTTTTTGTTGAGCATCATGTCATACCTATTATAGTATGTGATTTTCAGGCTTGTTCATAGTTGATGTGCTACTTTTTGCTAATCATGTGCATCAACAGTTCTTCTACACGTTAACATATTTTGAGGCTGTGTAGGAGTTATGTGCCAGAGGGAGTAAATCTAGCTATGTATATAAGGTGAATTACAAATGCAGATTATACGTGTGAGAATCAGGGACATTCCATACCAAAATACTTCACTTGAGTTAAGTGACCTTTTTGAAGAACTCCATTAGCTTGGTAATACCAGAGGTTTATCCATTGTATACATCAGCTCATGGGGGGCTGAAATAAGACATTCTTATCCAACTGATATATGTACTTTCTCTCTCAAAAAAAAAAAAATCCATCCCAGCTGTCTGATACTCACCCAATCTTAAGTCAGGTTTCAGACCCTTTTCTCTGCAGGCTTGTATCAAAACCAGAAATGTTACCTTTGATGTCAAACCTACTGGGCACCTTTCCTATGAATTGAAGGAGGAATGGTGTTAGTGGACAGCAGTCCAAGACAGTGATCTTGAAGCAGAAAAGTTGCTTAACATTAATTTTCTGTTTTGCACTTAGAAATTGAACATGTTTATGTTTAGGTGTGTGACTGGGAAAGCATTCAGGTGTCTGTGAGGCTCAGGGACTTTGGGTAGCTATTCTGGCAAATTTTCACAGATTGGCCTATATGATGAAATCTTAAAGTCCCCATTAAAGTCATTGACCAGAAGTTTTCATTGAGTGTCAGGAATTAGACTGAACCTCGAATTTCAAAGTCTTGTGGCTTTTGCTAACTGGAAGTAAAGTTCAGATTTTTTACCACCCGAGGAGCTAGAATGTACCTAAGTCTATTGGAACCAGTGAGATGTATCCCAGAGTCCTGAGGGAATTGGCTGATGTAGTTGTCAAGCCACTCTCTGTGGTATTTGTAAAGTCACTGTAATCATGATTTCACCATTGTATTGGTGAAGTCCCAGTGACTGGAAAAGGGAAAACATTGTACCCATCTTTTAAAAGGGTGGAAAGGAAAACCCTGGCAACCAGGGACTTCCCAACCTCATCACCTGCCTGGGAATATCATGGAGCAGATCCTCCTAGAAGCTGTGCTCTGGCACATGGAGAACAGAGAGATGATTTGAGACAGCCTGTGCAGCTTCACCAAGGGCAAGTCCTTCCTGACCAACCAAATGGCCCTGAATGATGGAATGACCGTGTTAGTGGACAAGGGAAGGGCTATAAATGTCATTTATCTGAACTTCTGTAAAGCCTCAGACAGAGTTCCTCATAACATGCCTGTCTCTTAATTGCAGAGAGACGAATTTTATGCATGGACTATTAGATGGATAAGAAAGTGGTTGGATGGTCACATCCAGAAGGTAGTGGTCAATGGCACAGTGTCCTGATAGACATCAGTGACTAGTGGTGTCCCTCAGGGATCAGTACTGTTTAATGTCTCCATTAATGACATGGATGAAGGCACTCTCAGGAAATCTGCAGGTGACACCCAGCTGAAGGATGAGATGGCATCCAGAGCGACCTGGACACCTCAAGACCAAGTGTAACAAGACCAGGTTCAGGGTGCTGCACCTGGGTCAGAGCAACCCATGTATCAGCACAGGCTGGGGATGAGCAGATGGAGAGCAGCCCTGTGAGAAGGACTTGGGTGAGAGGCTGGACATGAGCCAGCCATGGGCACTCCCAGCCCAGAGAGCCAAACGTGTCCTGGGCTGCATCCAGAGCAGCGTGGGCAGCAGGGCAGGGAGGGGATTCTGCCCCTCTGCTCTGCTCTGCTCTGGGAGAGCCCACCTGGAACCTGCATCCAGCTCTGGGCTCCCAGCACAGGGAGGACACAGAACTGTTGGAGTGAGTCTATAATAGGGACACCAAAGTGATTATGTGGATGGACCACATTTCCTATGAAGACTGGTTGAGAGAACTGGGTTTTTTCAGCCTGGAAAAGAGAAGGTGTAAAGGTGACCTAATTATGGCCTTCCAGTCCCTGAAGGCAGCCTGCAAGTTGTTTTTACAAGTGCATATAAGGAAAGGACAAGGGTCAGTGGTTTCAAACTGAAAGAGAATAGCTTTAGACTATATGTTAGGAAGAAATTCTTTACTGTGAGGAGCACTGGAACAGGTTGCCCACAGAAGCTGTAGATACCTGTCCCTGGAAGCGTTCAAGGACAGGCTGGATGGGGCTCTGAGCAACCTGGCCTAGTGACAGGTGTTTCTGCCCATTGGAGGAGTTGCCATGGGTGGAACTTTAGGTCCCTTCCATGGCTATTTCATGATTCTGTGTTCTTAAAAAGGCACAAAAACTACAAAAATTGCTTGAGAAAATGACTGTAATCTTAAAATACACATTCAGTATTTTTTTCTTAGGTGGAATTTCTGCTGAAGATTCTCACATTATCATTAGCAGATACAGGACTTTCTTGATCAGAGACTGCTTGCTTGCTGATAGTAGCTGGGTGTCTTTACTCAGGATATTAATGTATGTGTAGGAGGGGTCAGACAATAATTCCATCTTATTTCTCTCCCTTTGCAGGCCCTCTACAATTCAATCAAGAATGAAAAGTTGGAATGGGCAGTGTAAGTATGCTTCTGTTGTAGAAATTAGAAGTTTAACAGTAGTACCTGCGTAGTAATCTGTTTATACATCCTATGTCACCATCTGTGTGGGCTCCAAAACCTGCAGAAGATAGCCAGTGTACATAAAGAGTTTGCTTTTTTGCTAATGAATGACCTGGCAATATACAGCCTCATCTGTTTCTCCAGCAAGGGGAATTGTTAATGATAGGAGCCAACTCCATTTGTAAGGAAAGAGGACATTTCATTTAGTAGGAAACTTCAGCCTGAAAAGAGAGAAATTAAATCCTCTGTTGTTCTGTGTCTGCATAAATAAAACAGAAGTTGACGTCTCCCTTTATCTTTCTGTTCATTGTGTCAGAGCCACTGAATAGAAACACACTTCTTGGATTGAGTTTCCTGCTGTTGGTTTATTGTCTTGGTTTGTCTCCTGATTAAGTATGGATAACTTGACAACAACCTAATGTGAAAGATGATAAATGGACAAAGTCTGATATCACTCCCTCCAAATCCTTAGTTGATTTTGACAGGATAACACTTGTTAACTATGTAAATGCCGCAGATGAGAAAAAACTTCAGTTTCAGATTTTTGATTAAAATGACATTTCCCTGTGCTTAGGCTTTGTGTAGTCTAATTATGACAGGAAAGGGCAGAAGTGTCTACTTTTGATTTTGCCACTTGCAGAACAGTGGATTTTGTTCCTATAAAATAGGAAAATGATGTCTTACATATATTTTGGCTATACAAGGGTATTTCCCTGTGCATATTGACATATGTGAAACTTCACCTTCATGGGAACAAGGTATGTCTGGAATGCATGCTCCTGCACCTCTTATGCTAGAATTTCTAGCAAGTGCCATAGGTCTTGCAGGCCCAGTGGCTTTTTTGATCTTCATTGTTTTAAGTTCATGATCTGCAAACCAATTTCTTGTTAGGATGTGCAGCCTCACAAGAGCAACTGGTTCCAAGTGGGATTGCTGTCCCAGTTCAGAAATGTGCTAGGTAGTAGTAGTAAAGGTGTGCTTTTAATGGGAATCAGCAAGAAGTACCATCTCTGATGAGCATTAAAAGTCATGGTGGGAGACATTTTCACAGTCTGTGTCTTGGACCTGGAACACCCTGTGTGAATCTTATATGTCACACCAAAGCTGTTTGCCAGACACTGTCACAGGTACTTTAGAACCAGCAGAATCCATTATGTGACTTTCTCAATGTCAGAATTTTCCTCCAGCTCTTGCCAAGAAACTATACCGTGCCTAATACACTTGGGCAGCCTCCAGGTGGCAACTGGCTCATGACTGGCTCTGCTCCTGTGAACCTCAGTCAAGGTGATTTATGAGATCTTGCTGCTGTATAGGTGGTAACTGCTTTGGCATTTACATAGTCTAGTCCATGCCCTTGGTTTGGGGGAAAATTCTAAACAGGCTGGAAAAGTGGTAATTCAGACTCTTTCTTAAATAAGGCTTTGGGTGGATGTAAAGCTACTTTTTTGCAGGAGAATGCTCAAAAGTGCCAGTTGTTGGCTCCAATCTGAGACTGACACATAGCTAGGACTGATGTTACAATTAATTTCCGTGATGAAAAACAAAGCTCATTCTGGGCATATAGAGCTGAGAGTACTGGCTGGAAAAGGAAGTGTGAAGATGTTTCTCTTCATTTTTATAGAGATGTGTGGTTGGTGTAAAGTAATAACCCCAAGAAGCCCTGGGGCTGCCTGAGCTCAAGGGAGGAGGCACATATATATCTCTTGCTCTGCTGTTGTGATCTGCAGAGAAAGCTGAATGGGAAGGAAGCATGGTCGGTTTTGTTCTGGTGGGACCAAAGAAAATCCTGTCTCCCTTCCAAAGATGATTCTTTTGCTTCCCTGATGCAGTTGGCAGCATAAGAAGAGGGAGGTAAGGCAAAGGTGAAGATAGGACTCCAAACCTCTGTATAAGCTCTCCTGCAATGCTGGCATTTTGAAGGAATGCCTTTCCACCAGCCAGAAATCCATTGAGGATCTAAGGCGCTCATCAACTAACCAAAGGTTTAAGAGCTGCTCTGGAAGTACATTATTTAGTGGGTTAATGGCTATCAGTAAGTCCATAGACAGGAAACAATAATGGTGAAACATAAGATGGGGAAGGGCTGCTATCCAATCCTTATCTTACTAGTTGTGAGCTAGGTGTGTTATTATCTTCAAGAGTTTGCACATCTTAAAGAATACATTTCCAGTAGAATTACAGTCTGATCCAAAGCCCACACAAAGAAAGGGCTACTATTGACTTCAATTTTGTAATCATGAGAAGTGACACCTTAATCAGCAGATATTCTCCAGAGACTTTCAGTAGGAGTGTTCATTTATCCCTTTTGAACAGGAAAGCATGGGTACAGCTCTGAAAAGAGAATTGCATTATAGTTCTTGTTCTGCAGTAGTGCCTGGTTCAAGTTCTCCACAAAGTTAAAAGTGAATAATCTGTAAAATAAAGAGATCTGACCTGGAATTTTTACTGAACTGGTGAATGTGGGATCCTGAGAGCACACTTCTGCTCCACACTGCAAGCCTCAAAGGTGTGAACTGTTCTTCATGTCTGTTGTGGATGGCCTTAAATTTGAAACATTGAAAATTTGAAATCAACCTTTAAAAAGGTTTTTTATGGATTTAAACCAACGCATAGGTTTGCCTGGATAAAGTACAGAAGTGCTTTCAGTGGAGGTTTTTGTGAACTGGTTGTTTTGTCCGTAATGGATTAGGAAGATCCAGCCACAGAGGCAAAGAGATAGATTGCCTGGCCTCCTTCGTTGTCTATAATACTATATCCTCCCAAGGTTTTTAGGTGTTTCTCATTCTTTTACTTTCACACTGATCACTGTCAACTTTAAGCTGAAAAAGAAAAATCCATTTGATTACAAAGTTGCCAGAGCTAAATATGTTTTATTTGCCTGATGTCTGCATGGAAATGTCATGGTGGCCATTACTGTTTTCCTTTGTTTGCAATACTGTGTCTGTTTACTGTTGAAAGTAATTGGAGGAAAAAAATCATCATCTTAAAACAGGTGATCTAGAATTAATTTATGAACTCCCAAAGCACTGCTTACAAAATTGCTAAAGCCAAATGGCTGCATTTGAGTCAGTTGTGTCCCAAAAGCCTTCTCTCAGCAGAACAGTGTAGTTTTTTTTCAGGAGAATCATTTGGTTTTTAACTAGCCAATGATATACTTCTCTAACCAGAGGTGTTTACAGGGACATGGTATATTCTTTTTTTTGTTCATCCAAACTACACTGATAAATTATCTCCTTTCAGCCAAACCAAAACAGGTCATTCAGTTAGTGATGGTGGGAAAGAGGTGCTGCCAAATCAAACTGTGATGCTGAGATCAGGGTAGTTATAAAGACATCTGTGCTGAAGCTCACCTTTTTCTAGGTCAAACTGAGAAATCTCTCCCTGTTATAATTAACTTTTGTCTCCCAAGTTCTAGGATGCTTCTGGTTTACAACTTCTTGATTGGTTTTAGAGTGGGGGGTCACATGGTATTCAACCTGGTTCTCTTCCTTCCCTCCCACTGGGAAAGATGCCTAAACTTCTCTCAAGTCAATTTCCTAATACAGATGCTGCTAGTTTCATGGATGCATATTACAAACCTGAATTTTTTTTTTCAATTGCAATGTTTAAATAGATGAACTCAACTTTCTGCTGTGTCATATAAGGTTGCTATTTGAACAAATGCAGAAGAGATGAAGCAGAGTTTTAAAAATGAAGGGCTTGACTACATGGTTCCAGATCAGTGATTTCAGAATTTTCCAAGGCAGAGCCTCAAATTGGACCATAGATTGTAAAGAAATAATTTTATTACTGAGAGAATCAGATGATGCTTTTCTCCCAGAAGACAGAAATGGGGCTTTCCTGTATAGGGTCTTCTTGGGAGAGGCAGGAAATGCTTTTCTTCACCAAAATGGCAACATCTGGATTTTTATTTTTTTCACATTTATGTGTTTAAGAATAAGGGGCAAACTCTTTCTAGTTGTCTGTTATCATATATTTGGGAAGGAAAACATTGCTGTTTCAATGCTGTGACTGCAAGTTGATAGCACAAGCAGGTTCTGGGTTTGGTGTGCTGGTTCTCATGGGCAGCCAGAGGGTGGTTGCTGCTCTTTCTTTAGCTCCTTTTCCAAAGAGACAGGCTTACAGAAGTGAACTGAAGCTTCTTGTTTTGGGAAGCCTTGCAAACATCATGTGCCATAAGCAGAATCTTAGAGAAACTCTACAGATGGTAATTTTTTCCTGTCACCAGTACCCTGCAGAGAAGAGACACTGTAGGTCGCATTTCCTATGAATGGAAAGTGGGACTTAAGAGAAGTTTTGTAGCCATCAACCCTTTTCAGTCATCAAGGAGGAGTCACCAGAGGAATTGCTTTCAGACCCAAGTAGGGAATGATTTTCCTCTGCTGATCAGGGGCAGAAAAATCTCATAGGACTTCTGCAAGCCTAATTCAGCCTTCATGATGATGTTTTGCCTACTGAAAGGTGTTTTGGAACCATTGTGGGTTTTTTCCCCCTAAATGCACAAGGGTTGTGTTACTTCCTGTATGAAATCTAAACCAGAGGCAGTGGTCCTGCCCTCCAAAAGGATCTGAGCTAATGCCTGTGTGACACCACATCCATGACTCTGAACACCTGCACAGAGATCGCCACTGACTCTTACCCACATCACTGGAGGCCTTCATGCTGGGGACATTGCAGCACCTGGATGATCTGTGAGAGCCATCTGAGGATGGGCAGGTAGTCACACTCCCCACAGTTTAGGGTTTCAAACAAAGATCAGTTTTCAGGTTTATGTATCCAGAGGCTTCCCTGAATTTTCTGCAATTCTTTCTTACAAAAGTACCCTAAAGGCTTGTTAGAAGTAAGCTCAGATTTTTAAATCCCTGATAAACAGTATTTGGGAACCTATCTATTCAGCCAGCTTTGGAAGATACCTGAGGGAAAATTAATACCTGAACTTTTTTTGCTACTTTGACATTCCTCCGAATCATCTTGCTTTCTTCTTATGTTTGACCACTGAAGTAACATGGAGTATTTGGGCAAATGAGTCTCAGATCCTCTGGTTTTCATCCACTTCTTGCTTGTAATGAGTCCTTCCTGCCCCTTTGTCTCCTGTCATTGCCTCTTGCAGACTGATTTGTGCATCTTGCCCTCATGCATCTTGTCAGAGCACTCAGCTCTCAGAAATGCCTGAAGCTGCTGAGTCTCAAAGAAGTCCCATTTTCATGGTAGAACAAAAGATCAGTTCAAGGTTTGTTCAGTGCTGCCAGCAGCTGTGACAGCTGATGCTATTTTGTCCTTTCCACCATGTCTTTTGAGGAATTCCGGTTTTAACAGAATTGCTGTAACTAGAAGTACTGAGTTTAAGAGCACTGCCCCCAGCTCTTAGTGGTGTCCAGGATCCCCCACAGGATTGCTCATCCACCACTGAGGCTGCTTGATTAAGGGTACTAGTATATTCCCACAGGACAATTGATCAGTATACAGTAATTCATTCCCACAACTCCAAAGGAGATAGCTTATTCCAGGAAAGTGTTAAGCCTTTTACTGCAGCTGGTCTCTGCTGACAAGGAGAAATCTGCTGTGTCCTTGGCTGAAATCCCAGAATTCACAAGGCACTTCTGTGTGACAAATCAGCCTGTGTGCTTATGCCCTTTGAGAGATTTTTGTCTGGATTAAGTGCCTCAGACTCATGTTGAGAGAATTTGCTTCTGGAATGGACATATATCTAAGAAACACATAACACACAGTGGTTCCGACTTACCAGCAGCTAGCAAGTACACCAATGTAGGGCAGGGACAAGTGAAATTGTCAGAAATGCCTACACCTTTTCAATTGGGAGAGTGATTCAACTTAAGCATATTTGCTTTGACTAATAAAAAGGTTTTGTACAACTTTCTGTGCTGGAGTGGGAAAGCACACATCAGTAGGCTAAAGATGCAAGGACTGCTCTTCCTTGCAGGAATCAGGTCTTGAAGTAAAAGTTTTGTCCTTCTTAATTAGGAGACCTTGCAAGACAACATCATGAAGGTATGGTGCACCTCCTGACTATATTTCTATAATTTATATGATGTGACCAAAGTCAAATGCTTGGGAATATTCCCTGCTACTACAGAGTTCACTAACACAGCCCTCGTGTTTCTGGATTTGTTTTCCTTGTTGTCAAACCAGTCTCTTAGCCTTTTTTCTCCTTAAACTAAGTTATTCCCCAAAGACCATTTCATAGAATCATAGAATCATCATCTAGTTTGGAAAAGATTTCCAAGATCATTAAATGATCATCTATGACTGAACATCACCCTTTCAACTAGGTCATTGCACCAAGTGCCACATCAATTTGTTTCTTGAATGCTTGCAGGGATGGTGACTCCACCATCTCCTTGGGAAGTTTGTTCCAATGCTCAGCCACCTTTCAGTGATGAAATTTCTCCTGATGTTCAACCGGCTAGTCCTCTCATCATTCACTGGTTGCCTGGGAAAAAACGCCTACCCCCACCTGGCTACAACCTCCTTTCAGGCAGTTGTAGAAGGTGATAATGAGCCTCCTTTGCAGCAGAGCTGAGGATAAGATAGATTTGTTGCTGTGGCCTGCAGTTCTTGGAAGACATTTTTTTGAATGGTCATTCCCACAAGCAGCCATGGTAGCAGTGTGTTCCTAAAGGAGCTACCGGATTGATATATGCCTTGCTAATTGTCACATAAGACATACTTTTGAATATATGGATGTGTTTGGAAGATCTGCTTGAGCTTGCTCTCTCTCTGTCAGTCATCTGGGTCCAGTGAGATGCATCAAGTTGAGGTCCACCCCCAGTGGGTTAGCAATATTAGCCATCATTATGCTCAAAAGAGTTTTTTTTAAAATCAGATGCCAGTCTCAGCAGGTGTTGCTACCATGACCTTCCAATGACAGCCTTCATACTCCCTGACACACCTTTCTTAGTCACCTTGAGGGGAATGTATGCGGATTTCAAAGGATGAAGGGCTACTGTGTAATCTGGCCTGTTCGCTGAAAACTGTTGTCCTGCTGTTGTGATGGACACTGTTTACTTCTAGGTTGCCTAGTCCTTTTTAGCCTTTGCCTGTAACAAGCAAAAAGGTATTTATTAGTCAGGTAATGTTTATGACTTGCATTGTTGTCCCCAAGAGCTCTGTGGAATACATTGCCCTAATAAGTAACATTTTCAGCAGCAAACATTTTATTTCCAAAGTAAAGATGACATAATTCACCTAGTTTGGTTTTTATTTTTAAATTACTGATTTTATGCTAGTCAGCTGAGGAAAATAAAGAAAAATAGGTAGAGTCTGTGTTTCAGAAGCTAAGTTAAGGGGTAAGCTACAGTTATGTGTAGTATTCTAATTCTTTTCATCTACATGTGAGCTCATGAAGAAATTGGGGATTTTTCAGCTGAACCCAGCAGGCAAATGTTTCCCATTTTAACACTCAAATACATGGAATTAAAAATAGCCAAAACTGGAGGACACAGAACACTTTTGAAGTCTAATCTTCTGAGACAATAATGAAAACTTGGCCTTTTTGAAAATCTGTGTCCTGTGCTGGTGAAGTAGGTGAACTGAAACTGCTATAATATGTCTATATTTTGATATATTTCTAGATTTCTCCCTAAGTATGGCACCCTATAAAAGAGAGAGGTATATTTTGACAAGGAGTGTTCAAAAATTGCTGAAATGAAACTTTGCTGGTGAGTCCATCCTTCATGCATGATTTTCACTGCTTTTTAAGGGATGAAGAAGAGAAAAAAAAATCTCACTCGGATGGTACAGATGAAAAGGATAATGGGAACCAGACAAAGGCTGTCAGTCGAATTGGCAATTCAAATAACCCATTCCTGGACATCCCTCATGACCCCAATGCTGCCGTGTATAAAACTGGATTTCTGGCTCGGAAAATCCATGCAGATATGGATGGAAAGAAAAGTAAGTAATTTTTCAATCCTAATGTGTTATTTTCTTGTTATGTCTTCACAATGCCACTTGCCAGTGAGCCCATGTACTTCTCAAGGTGAATACTGCTGCTTCATTAGGGGAAATAGCAGCCCTAACAGGCAACACAACAACTGGATTATCACACTCTCACTGTTAGGCCAGAATTTACAATGCTCAGTGCCATTTGCAGCAGCTCTAATGCATAAGAAGTAAGGTGATACAGCAACGCCTTGTGAATTTTTGGTCTGAAAGAAGATAAATATAATGGTTTACACATAGAAAATAATTTCAAGTGAATTACAGTAGCTGTTCTGCAGTAATTTGAGAATTCTCCTTTTCCTTATGTGACACCAGATTGTTTTGGATCTCCCTTCCTCTCTGGGTCTGTCTTTAAAGAAAGACTGTTCTTTACCTCTGTTTAGAAGGTAGTGTTCCCTTCCATACTTTCCCAGCCTTGGGTTACATATCCAATGAAGGGTGGCAGCTTTTGGCACCAGCCAGCTTTTTACTATGCAGTTCCTCCCTGCCCCTTTCTTGTACTAATCCTGCTATGTCTCTTACTTACTTTAATTATCTTCTTCCCTTCTTGTCCTGCTTCTGTTTGCGATGTACTATTTATCAAGGGCCTCTGATGCACCTGTGTGTGTTTTGTTGTTTGGATATCTTCATTTCTTGTCTACAGATCTTGGAAAAAGCTGAAGTTAGTCAGAGCATCTGTGTTTTCCCCATAACTGTTGATGATTGCCTATTCATGATTCACATTGGTGGGCTAAATCCCAAAGACAAAGTCTGGCTTCATGATGGGTTTCCAGTAACAGCTAGTTTCTCCTAGGCTAAGCTCTTTGGTGTTCACATGTTTTGCTCATCTATTTTAGAAGGTACAATTAGAGGTCATATTTTCAAGATGGAAGGTAACAGCGGGACAACTGGATTCAGACAGAGGTGTCAAAATCAAGCTGACCTAATTCTTTGTGGTGACTGGATACTCTAAATAGGCTCGTCTTTATTAAACATCATCTTATTCAGCCTTAATAAGTAATTGTATCTAGTTGCCTTTATTAAATTATTTATTTAATTATACATACCAGAATTGCTTTTTATTTACCACATTGGCATTCTGGAGATAACTCTCTTATGAGTAATGTAATTAGGGCCATGTTTTCAGAAGTTCCTGTACAATTTAAAGGTCTGTCTTTCTGAAAAAAGTTGCATTCTGGCTTTTCAGGTGCGAATAAAACTTTTTTATTTGTTTGCTTGTTAGACCTTTTCATATTTCATTTTCTAACGGAGTCCTTGTAGGGCAGAGATTAGCTTGTATGGGATTTCTAATGAAGTGATATGCTAGAATGCTCATCTCTATTTTCTCAGGAACCTAGTTCTGAGGGCTAAAGCACTTAGCACTTGGAGGAGAAGGATGTAACAGGGTCCGGTGACTGGAAACTGAACTGAACAAATGCCACTTAGAAGTAAGGCCTGTTTTGCAAGATAAGAATGATTAACTTCTGGGACCAGGGACTTAAAACCTCTTCATCTTTACTTTCTGTCTTCAGATCAGAATGGGATGCCTTTCTGAGTGTCATTCTTCAGTTGTGTGTGTATTAATTTTGTTATAGTGTCAGTGATACACTATATGGTTGCTGGTCAGTGATGTGTGCTTGGTGGGGAGTGAGCTTAGATGCAGGCTTCTGGTCTCTGGTGCTGTGACTGTACAGCCGTGCCTAATTCTCTCCCTCTGTTGCACCTGAATTTCAGACTGGATCCTTCAGCCTTCATGCTGAATTTACTTCCCCCTGCCCCACCACTGCTTGTCTCTAGGAATTTATGGGCTAGATATATTTCTCTGTTATGTTCTTCAACCTCTAACTGACTTTGGCTTTCTTGTGGGGTTGGCTATTTTACATATGATGTTGCTTGGCATCTTTCTCCTTTCTCAATGCCAACTTGGGTGTGCAGCAGCAGTAAAAGGGAACGAGGCTCTGGGGAGACACTGCTTTCTGTGTAGTATCCCACTAGTTCTGAGCAGCTCCTGCCAGCCTGCTGTGGCATGTAGAAAGACTGTTTCTTTCTGAAAACTGCTATGGTGCAAAGCTCAGACGTAGTTGTGTAGGGGCAATGTCTGCCTGTCTTCAAGAGCACAAAGACTGGATCTCTGTGGCTCTTTATGGCCTGCTTTCTGCATTGCTGCTGTTCTTTCTGATCCAGTCCAGGGCTATCATCAGCGTTGTTGTATTGCTTTCTCTCAGAGCAGGTACATGCAGGCACTGTGCTAAGTTGCATTGTCCTTTGAAAAAGATAGTTTGAAGGAGGTTTAACACAGGACTAATGTAGCTCTCCTGTAGTGTGTACAAAGTGTAAAAATTGATCTGATTTAAATGGGTTTTCGTTTGTTTTCTTTCCAGCTCCCCGGGGAAAGCGAGGCTGGAAAACCTTTTATGCTGTGCTGAAGGGAACGGTCCTGTACTTGCAGAAGGTAGGGGAAACCACTGTCTTTTGAAAACTAATTAAAGAGGGATAAAGCAGCACGCATCTCCTCTACTCTCTCAGTGTACCTCCAGGCTCCTTTTCCTCGGATGCACAGCATGGCTGATCTCCCTACCCCCACCTATTAACACACACATTCAGGCATGAATCCTCTTGTTGACACCCTCTCCCTTTTCACAATTTCAAGTTCAGTTCCACTGCCTGCATCCACATGTGCACCCTGTAAGTTCCAATGTATGCCACTGCTGCCTCACACATCTGTAAAAACAGCTAGCTTCACCAGCAAAGACAGTGCCATCTCTCAGCGTCATGCATGCGTCCTCTAGGCTGCTTTTAACTTTGCATTTCATACGTAGGACTTCCCTTCTGTAAGGTTGTCCTCCTTTCCCACCTTTTCATGGCACACTTTTCTGCAGTGCCTGCAAGACCAGCTGCAAAACAATTGAACAACAGCTTGGCTTTGGTAGGAATCTGCAGCTTCTGTTCCTTTGCGAAATTGAAGGATAAAAGGATACTTTTTTTCCACAAAGCAAGAAAGGGCTGGTTTCTAACAAAATGTGCTTCCTGACAGCAAGGTGTCTAAAAAGATAGTCAGATGAAACCCTTCAAGCTTTTTGTTGCAAGCTTAAATGTATTATAGTACATTTTTAACTACACTGTTAGAACATAAAATGCAACATATGAGTGAGAACTGTCAAAATCAAATAAATGGCAGCAGCTAAGTAGGTTGTTAAGGCTTTTTGCCCTCCAGTTCAGATGAAATATTCATGGAATAGATACTGCTTGTCCAGACTGCCCTATATTGCAGAAGTATGCTTCTTTGAAAGCTGTTTTACATTTTCACTCAAAAACAGATAGTTTTGTAACTATCAGGAGTGTGAGTACATACTGCGGTTTCCTCCTCCCCCACTGTGGCTTTCTGAAGTTGTTGGTTTCACTGGAGCCAACCTGAATAGTCTCTTGAGAAGAAACAGTGATTTGAATCAGATTATTATAGCATGAGGTTTACAAGGTGAATGCTTGGGGTGCAGTACCTTTTGGAGGGGGCTGAAATCCTGAAACAGACAAAACAATCTGCAGTTAGGATAGAAGATTTAGGCTGTAAGTTGGGTGTGATATGCTCAGAGCCAGTGCAAGAGACTAAAACTAAGTCAGCTGAATCCAAAGTCCTTTTGCTGGGAACACGTTCAGGTATTACTAAAATGCCTTCATGGCAGGCTTGTACTTGCCCTTTTCTGAACAAAATGGATTCATCTGCTTCAGTTCCTGAAATAAATAATCTCTAATGTTCACCTGAAAAAACTGCATGGTTCTGTGAGAAATAAGAAGACTTCTTTTTTGAAATACAATATTTAATTCCTTATTTGATATTCAAGGGAAAGAACTGAGTATACTGTCTATTTTAGCACCTTAATTACATATTTTTATGGCCATTGCTGGCATATTAGTTTAAAATGCTTTCTGTTTAATAAAATGCAGAGATGCTGATGTAGCATGCAAGTTTTCTACAGAATGCTGCCCTTCCCCCTGTTACCCTCCATGTTTTCAGGAGCAGGGAGTAATTTCACATATGACTGCATTTCATCAGAATGAAATGCATTGTTGGAATTCTTGTTCTTATTTGTTTGTTAGTTGTGTATTTTGCTCTTCTCAGAGCACTTGAATTCAGTAGTTACTGGGCACTACTCTGCAGAGCTGCATTCTCCTATTTGCATGGGAGCCATCCGTTGCGTTGAAGGCATCTTACTGTAGCACACTGCCAAGTAAGGCTTTTGCCTTTGTGCTGTGAAAGGTTGACAGAAGGTTATGATGGGAGGTAACTCATTCCAAGAGTGATGGGGCAGCTGTGAGCCTCTCCACAGTGCCTCTGGCCCCTGCTCAGCCACATGCTGCAGCTGTGAAAAAGCCTGTGATTTCACCACCAGGGCTTTCCTTCAGCACTCAAATAAACTTTACTCTGTTAGAGATGTAGTATCATAGAAGGTGAAGGTGCCAGAGTTAAAAAATACACAGCTAGACCAAGTAGTTATAGTAAAGATTGCTGAGCTGCTGTTTCCTTCTGTAGGGACTGAAATTATTCTAATTTTAGGGAGTACTGAAGCATTTTAGAAAAGTTTGATTTCTTTGCGGAAGTTCATAGTTCTGGAAATAGTGCTGGCAATAGTCTGGGTCAAAGGATTGCCTTGCCTCAGTTCACCTCAGTTCTCTCCTGATTATAGAGAAGGTGAAGCTGATATGGTGCAGTACGGCAGAGTGCATTCACAAGCACGTCCTCTTTTTCTCATTCCCCATATGCCTGTGGAGATGACATCTGTGATGGTGGTTTCATTGCACTATTCAAGCAGGATAGAGAGAAATCTCACTGTACAAGTGCTGTGTACATGCAAACACATGTACAAAACTCTGCAGTATTGCGTTCTGTGTTCATCTGTAACTCAGCTGTTCCCTCAAGACACTGTTGTAATATAAATATTAATTTTTCATAGCAGCTGTGAGTCCCCAAGTGGGCAGTGTGATCCCAATTCTGCCGTCTCTCTGTTTGCACCGCTGTTCTCCTTGTTTTGCTGTCAAAGGCAATGTATGAGAGTGTTTTGTAAATGGTGATCACTTGAGATTTACTGAGGATTCTTCTGGACAGCCTTGTCTCCCTGCCCACCTTTTTTCCCCCTTTGGAATTATATCAGTGCTAATTCCTGTGGTGCATATTGTTTTGTTCTTAAATAAGTGATTTAGGAGAAACAGTTTCTGAATTAGTGAGCACAGAGAGCACTGGAGGTGCTCAGTGGAAATGTTCACAATTAGCCAACTAAACATGCCTGTGCAGTATTATATAAAATAAGAAATTTGACATGTTTGGGACATTGGCTATGTCTCTGGGCATCCTCAGGCCAAGGTTAATTTCCTGCCCTCTGTTCATAACAAGAGGAAGTTGCAAAGTAGCAGCTTGACAGAATGTCTGTTCACTAGACTGACATGGGATGTGATGTGCATGTGCAAGAGAAGCTTATAAGGAGAGGACATAAGGCTGACCTCGCTTCCTTGCTAGAAATTGCTTCTGGGCAAAAAGTGCATGACACGAACCTTCGTGTTTTGTTTGGACTCTTCTGTAAGGTTCGCAATATCTTTGCTGTTTGATGTGGCACTTTATAATTTTGCAGGCTTCGGGTCTTTTTATATAAATTTTCTCAAATTTCCTCTGTTAAAAATTAAAAAAAAAATTGAGAAAGGCCAGACTCAGGTAAAGTGTTTGGTGGTGAGACTTTCTGAAAGAGAATCTTGCAGCTGCATGGAGATATCCATCCATGGTGCAGTGACTGATAAGAAAAGACAAATGTCATTCTCGGGTTTACCAGAAATGTATTTAAAACTATGCTGAATCTGGGTCATCAAGATGTGGGAAAGTCATTCTCCAGGAGTTTGAGAAAGATGAATTCAGCATGCCATTGCATTGTACGCAGAACTCACATCAGCCTTCAGCTGACAGACAGATCACAGTTTCTTTCTGGCTCCATATGTATTTCTTGCCACTATTGAGGTCTAACTTTAGAGAGCTGCCTTCCATTTCAGCTCAACCTGAACGCTGACATCAGCACATCATAGCACATGCTGTCCTTGACGGCTTAGGCAAAAATGGATGTTCCTACTCCCCTAGCATTCCCTACCAGTCAAAAAGAGTTGAAGGCCTTGGAGAAGGAATTTTGGCAGCACATTCATGTCCTTACAGCTTTCTCTGAGGCTGGCAAACTATGTGGAGACATTTCCGGTATGCTGATCAGTGCCTTTGGAGAAGCTGGCAGAGCCCCAGCTGTCAAGGTGGATTGCAGCCAACTGATCTGGTGGGATTAGCAGGGATTACCTCGAATACTTTCTGTTGGAAAGGAGGGTTTATCAACCAGGGCTGCTTCTGGGGCTGCCCAAATGTGGACTTCTTCTGAAATGGATTTAGTCACCAGAGCAAGTTGTAGACATTGGATGCAGCTCACAGAGGAAGCTAGAAGGCAACAAGCTAAGTGATAGCTGACACTGTCTCTAGGCAGTAGTACAAGGTAAGATAGAATATCATATGTCTGAGGCCTCTGTAAGTTAATTTCCTGGCTCTGAGGTTTTCCCAGTCTTCCTGGACAACAGAGCCAGTCATTTCCCCCAAAACTACCACCAAATAAATCAGCTTGTGAGCCCTTACAGGAGGGGGCTTGACCTGAGGTCTTGCCTCCTCCATCTTCAAGGCAGGGTTTGCCAGACTTCCTTGAAAAAGGTTTAAAGAAATGCCCTAAGTGGGCATAGGCAAAATCCTTCAAGACTGACAGATGTCTTCAAATCTTGCTGAGTCTCAAATTATGAGAGATGGAGGACATTTGACTTTGCTCACTGCCAGCCCTTGTAAACCCCTTATATCACAGATGTTTAGGTTTGCGTCTGCCCTTTGGTCACCTGTGTAGTAATGTTCTGCCTTTCTGCTGGGCCTGCCAGACTTATGGTGGTGCCCTTGCCTAGCTCCAGACAGAGGTGGTGGTGTGGCAGGACTGCTGGATAGCTGCTCTTCTCAGGTTAAGTGTCTGAGCAGCAGTGTGGGAAGTTGTGGGCCTGCACCAGCCCATCAGAAGGGATGAGAAATGACAGAGGAGCAAGATGTTTTCTCCCACCTTCTAAGAGGTGGTCACCACAGCTGGTGACTTCCTATCCTGGAGAGCCTCAACGTGGAGAGCCCCAGCCCAGCCTGGCTGAAAGCTCAGATGCCTTTGGCAGTGGCATAGATTCCTCTGGCTGCAGTCCTGTTTGGTGTGCTGCCAGAGAAGTTCTGTAAATGAATTCATGCACATTAACCAGCTCTTCTCTCAGGCGGGTGTCTCCCTGGCTGTGGAAGCTAGTGCTATCCCTGCACATACTCTGCATCTTGCACTGTGTTTCCTGCTAAACCTTATCTCATAAATTGTGTTCAAGTGCAGGATCAATAGTTACCATGCCTGCAGGGAGTTATTTCACTGCTTTGCAGCTGTCACACTTGGTGCATATTCCAGGTGAAACTGATTTCTGTGATACACTAAGAGGGAGAAATGGAGTCAATTACAGACTGCTTTGGCCTGCTCTGCAGAAACAAAGTGATGCAGCCTTGCTGAAAAATCACTTCTCTTTCAAAAAGCTCCTGGCTTTCCCAAGCCATTTATAGTCTTGTGGGCTTTGGATGGAACCTATGGCTACATTATGTCCTTGTCCAGCTTCCGTCACTCAGAAGATCAAAGACTGCTTCCAGGCTGCTGCTTGCAAAACAAGAGTCCCTGGTTTTGTCATCTGGTGTTAGGAATGGTACCGTTTCTGTGTCAGAAACCCAGATAGAGCTGTGCTTGCCATTTGTAGACCCTCATCAGAGAGAGGTAAGGGAGTTTGCTGTAATTTTCTTTGTGGACTTTGTGAGGAGGCTTCTGTAGTGTGTGAGGACTTGCCTAGGAGCACCTACAAAGGTAATTGGTTGAGAAAAATTAAAAGCAGGCAGTAGAGACTGAGAACCTAAATAGCTGAGCAGTGGAGTTGGGGAGCTGATTATGAGGGATTGTTGAATTGAAGACAAATAATCCACAGCTGTTGTCATAGTCAAATACTTCCTACTTACATCTCTTCCTGTCAAGCAGGCAGTAGAACTACTTCTCTCCTTTGGAAAGACATCAAAACAGAGAAAAAAAGAAAAAAGAGAGAGAAAGGAAAACATGTTAAAGGTAGTGGAAACCACAAGTCAGGTTGCACTTATTCATATACTCTATTACTATTTCTCAACTCTGGAATAAGGTTTTTTCCTTAGGCTAAGGAAGAAGGATTAGTACATGCAGAAATTAAATGCCATAAATTTTTCCCCTGCTATCTTCTGCAGGATGAATATAAGCCAGAAAAGGCTTTGTCGGAGGAAGATCTGAAGAATGCGGTTAGTGTGCACCATGCACTGGCATCCAAGGCAACAGACTATGAGAAGAAACCCAATGTCCTCAAGCTTAAAACAGCAGATTGGAGAGTCCTGCTTTTTCAAGCCCAGTAAGTGCTCTCCTCATGCCACTCATTGAGGAAAGAAAGCAGTGCTGAAGGAGGAATAAATTTTTGCCTGGACAGGTTAAAACAGAGGCTTAAGAGGTTCAATCTGTTTATTTGATCAGAAATAAGATTAAGTAGTGATGTGATTAGAGTGCACAAATAGTGCATGAGAAAGAAACATCAGGTTTTAAGAGGCTTTTTAATCTAGCTGAGAGAGGCATAACAAGATGCAGGAGCTAGAAGCTGAAGCTCCAGGAAATTCAATTTGGAAGCAAGATAACAGTCAGGGTGATTAATCATTGAAGCAAATGACCAAAGGCAGTCTTGGATTGTCTGTCTCCTGATGTCATCAAGTCCTAGCCAGATGTCTTTCTAGAAGATGTGCTGTGGTTAGAGACAAAGTTACTAGTTAATACAAGGATGATTTGATAAAGTTTTTCATGCTGTGATATCCAGACATAACAGATGACCTGCCTTTTGCTTCTGAGCCCTTTTCTACTGAGATCCATATTAAACCTCCTAGAGATCTGTGGTTACCAGCACAACCAAGACCTTAGGACATATGTCTGAATCAGGGCATTAGTTGGCTCTGTCAGCTGTATTACTGGGATTGGATTAGGGAAAGATGTGTGCTAGGGTGAGGTATGGACCTAAGCACAAGCCAGCCTGTGACTGAGTTACTTAGCACTAGCTGCTTGCAGACATAGGCAGGAAGAAAGAGCAGACTCTTAAGACTTGTCCAGTTTTGGCTATTCGGACTTTTAAAATAACATAGAAGGGATGGAAAGAGGTAGACAATGCTGAGTCAGCAAGTGCTTAATATGTGTTGCTTCCTCAGGAGCCAAGAAGAAATGCAGACCTGGATCAACAAGATTAACTGTGTGGCTGCTGTCTTCTCTGCACCACCATTTCCAGCGGCCATTGGTTCTCAGAAGAAGTTCAGTCGCCCACTCCTGCCAGCCACCACAACAAAGCTATCTCAGGTGAGACGTTTTTATATAGTGGGTAGGTGGTAATGATTTCTCTTTCTGTCCAGACACTGGATGGTCGTCTTTGTCACCGTTTTATAGCTGTTGCTGCTAGCAGTCCTAGGAGGAGAAGGCTTGCATAGTAAATCTCTGCTCATTTCCTCGTGCAAGATTTGAAGTGGGGGGAGAAAAGGAACAGACTCAAATACAATTGATTTATGGTTTTGAAGAAAATAGTACCAAATAAAGAATTTTCTTCTTGTGCTTATGACCCTGCAGAGTACATTTCAGATACTGATTGATGGAGTTATTTTGGGTTTGAGTGTTTATAAAAGCCACTTATTTCAGAAGAAGTGGACATACTCCTGGTCTTTGGCTTTTTGAATTGATAAAAGGTGAAAGCTGATGCATCAGACAAGCATCAATTATATTTCTCCCACTAGATTTTCCAGGCTCCATTTATTAGCTCAGGGATTTCCTGTATAATATATATTTATAAACTGTGTCTTAAATGAATCTCTTCAGTCTCCCTTGTGATCACACAAGCTTAGCATCCCATGGCAAGGAGTTTCACAGCTCTACTGGTTCTTGCACAATTACACGTATTTCTGCTTGTCTCAGGCTGCCTGTGTCAGATGCTTGTGCCCATAACTTTTTGGGAGATGCAATGCCTGCCTGGAATTCATCCTGCATTGGCAAGAACATGATACTGATTGTATTGATCAGATTGACAGAGTGACAGAGGTTATACTTCATGACATCTTCCTATAGCTTTTAAAGTGATGTGCCCATGCTGGATTGTTTCTTAAATGCATTTGTTGGGGGTTTTTTTTATTGTCTTCATAGCTTAGCAACTGTCCTTAGAAACCACTGTCTCAAAACCTGTGTTTCTGTAAGGATATGGGGTTTTTATGTTGCCTGTGCTTTTTCTCTCTCCATGACAGCAGCCTTTCTTCTTACATTGTGGTGACTGACTTACCGTTTTTTGTTCTGGGTTAAAGTTTAAATCATGTTATGTAAAAAAATTATAAACTGGTCTCATCCTTTTGGTTTTAGTTTTTGGTGATGCATACCTTTTAAAAATACAGTATGGTGCTTCCATAATTTACCCCCAGTCACCAAGGGAAGCTTTTTTACTCGTTCTGTATGATTGTTCCATTTAGCATGTTGTTTCCTAGTCTCATTGTTTCCATTTAATCTGGAAAGGGAAAAGATAGATCACGACCCTGTGGTTTGTATCCTGAAGAAGGAGAGACATGAAAAGTGGAATAAGATAAGCTGTTTTAGATAAGGAGAAGAATGTTAAGTGTTCAAAATAGATAAATTCAAAGGCAAGCAGAAACATGTCTGCTTTCATCTGTCAGTGTGGAAAAGCTGCCAGCAGGCTGTTTCTCATGAAAAAAAAGCCCCACAAATTGTCAGATCCCTGTGGTGGATGTTTGGGATTTTATTGAATGAGTCATGATGGACACTACTTCTTCAAAGGGTCTGTTCCTGGTCAGCCAGAAGTCAAGGTGCAGTGAGGGCTTAGCATGGGTAAGGAAGAGAGGCTGGACATGATAACAGGTTGTGCAAGATCATTGTACCAGATTTTCTTTCAAAAGCAGAACAGTGTATGATCTTGGTTAGTCCAACCAAGGAGGTGTGTGACAAAACTATATATAAAGGAACAACCAATCTAGAAAAGACCTACTAGGGTGTTAGGCTTTTTCTTTTTTTCTGAGAATGCACAGCACACACAAAAGCTCCAGAGATGGTGCCCTGGAAATGACAGGTGCTGTGTTAATAGCTGCTCAAAGACCTCCTGTCATCAGGCTGTAGAACTCACTACCATAGGATGTCCCTGGGACCAGGGAATCAGCACAATGTAAAGAGTGATTGGGCACTAATGAGAGAGCATGCACATTTAGAGTAGTAACTAACAGCAACAAGAATTTTTTGGCAATTAGTAGCAAGTGGTTTCAGCCCTACCATGTTTAGGCAGAGGTAAATTATCCCACATAGTTCTCTCTTCAGTTCTTCTCCAAAAGAATTGAAACACAAGATTAGCTGAGTCTTAGCTATCATCATCTATAGAAGTTTTCCCCTTTCTGCTGTTTTCCACAGCTCCAGCGAGCCAAGAGGCTCAGTCCACAGTGTGACTCAGTGCAGTGCAGGCATATCTGAGCTAGATTTGAAGCTATGGGCTTCATCTGAGCTGTGGGCTGGGCTCAGAACCATACATACCACAGAGGGACAACACTGGCAGCTGCAGCTGTTGCCTCCTCTGAGGTGAGGTGCCTACACAGGAGCTGACCTGGGTACTACCTCTTGGCTAATTCACCAATATCTGCATGATCATGTGTCTATTTTGGACTTACCTAATTCAAACATAATTTCAGATCCAAGCCTAGAAATGGACAGAAGGCCATCCTGCAGGAGATGAAAACCTTCTGAGATGAGGGAAGGTTAGCTGACAGATGGACTGGAGGAAGTGAGTGGGCCTGGGTTTATGATAAAGGAAATTGCCTAGAAAGTGGGAGTAGCAGCTCCTCACTTTCTCCAACTGCACAGTGGGATAAAAACCGGTAGCAGCTTAGCAAAATGAGATACTTTTTGGGGACTGGACAGCCCTTCCTCTTCTGAATGCATTGTATTGTTCTAAACAAATAGAAACCACACACTAGAGAGCTTTTGGCAGTGCAGAAACAGAAGAAGGGGCCCTGACTCTGTGTCTTTTCTATCCTGGAAGGAACACCATTAACAATCAATAACCTGAGGCAGAGTCTTCACCTGTCTCGTTTTGCCCTTGGTTTGTCTGCATACACAACAGTCTTAATTAATTTGCAAAAAAATGTGTTAGAGCAAAAGTGTCATGTTGTCAGTATTGCTCGGCAGCAAGCTGCTTCCATTGCTCACAGCAAGGCAATGGATGACAGGTTTGCTCTCTTTCCCAGTGGCATCTGCTAGCTGCTGAGTTTTTCTGCAAGCTTGGCCACTTTGGGTGCCTTTGAGAGAGCTGTTGGTGGCAGCGCTTTGGGATGACAGACTTTATCAATCTAAGAAAAAGAAACTATGAGGTATTATTGTACAGGAACCTCTCTATTTTTCTTTGCTTATTGGATATTTTGGATTCTGTCACTTAAGTGCCTAATATGTTTCTGAAGGATGAACAGCTGAAGTCCCATGAAGCTAAGCTGAAGCAGATCTCCACTGAGCTTGCTGAACATCGCTCCTATCCTCCTGACAAGAAGCTCAAAGGCAAGGAAGTAGATGATTACAAACTGAAGGACCACTATCTGGAGTTTGAGGTATATATGGAAAACATTACTTTTACTTCTTGGGTGTGGATGGTCTTATATTTGGAGTACAGTCCTGAAGTTCTTCATTTTTCACTTTACTTCCCTAGGAAGTGTGTTCTTGCTAGGCAGAAAAGTCCTCTGCAATTGCAGATGCTGGGATGTGGCTCTTCTTTCTGGTGAGAATGTCCTTAGTGATTTAGCTCCCAGCCTGTAACATGGAGGATAGAAACAAGACTCCTGTCCTTCCTCATGTACCTGTTTGAAGAAATTTTAAGATCTTAATGCATTAAGTGTCTTGTGTTGTAAAACTGTGTTGCCTAGTGTATTGGAACCTCAGTCTCTAAAGAATGACTGCGTTCTGCAGGAATGCAGATCATGGTAATTGTCTTCCATTGGTAGGTTCTGAAGGAACTGATATGCTGAAGTTACTGTCATAGGCTTGCCTCCCTCCTCAGAGCCATTGTGTTGTATACCACTTATATGGATGTCAGGATGAGAAGGAAAATGGTAGACTTAAAGATCACAGATTGAATGATGCAACTTAGGCAGATGCATAAGAAGATTGTTTTGAGTATCTGACAGCAGCTTTTATCTGTAATGGTGTCTGCCACATTTTAGGACTATGTGGGAATGAATCGGCAACCCAGTGGATGTCTGACATTTGTTATACTACACCTTTGAGCTTTTTCCCCCAGGACTACGAGTCAATGTTGCCTTGGGTCTGAAAGGATCCTACTCTAAATAGGCAGTGCTTGGCAAGGAAAATACATAGTCTGACAAAGAGGAAGAGCAGATAAGACAGATGAGACCACTAGAGCTGGTGCTGGAGGCAACACAGCACAAGCCTCTAGAACTGAAGTAAGCCTTCTGCCCTGTGCGATCAGTTTCTGTTGGAGGGACTCTTTTTACTTCCGAACTTAAATCATTGCATGCTTTTGCTTTTGCAGAAGGTTAACCACTGTGTAGCCACTGTGTTGAGTTTCACTTTGCTGTAGTAATGTCCATCAGCATGGCTTTATGAAGGAGGAATCGTAACTTGACCAACATGATAGTCTTTTTTGATGTGATGTTTGGTGTGATGGACAAGGGGAGAGCAGTGGATATTGTTTGTTCTTCACTTTGACAAGAATTCTAACACTGTCACCTCTAACAACCTTGTAGTCAAGCTGATGAAGTGGATTACGAAGTTGACAGTGAACAAACGAGATCAAAGAGTTGTGATCCATGGCACAGTGTCAGTTAGTTTTGAAGAGAGCACTCAGATGTACAGAGTAAGCCTCACACTTTCTCTCTGGAGGGCATCTTGTAAAACTTGGAAGATAAAGCATTTTCTTAGCTTTGCATTCTTGACACAAAGTTTATTTTCTGTCACTTTTAGAAGCTTGGTGAGTTAGGATGAAATGTGGGCTGGAGTGTTAAATGTTTATAGAAAGATTGATGAGGGAGTAGATTGTTGTGGGGTTTTTCTCTGTTTCCTGTGAATTTTATCAGGGATAAAATTTATATCCTTTATCTTTTGAGGATATTCCTCAGGTACCTCAGTACAAATCAGAACCACTATAGCCCAGGAAACAAAAAGTGTCCTCTTCACTAGTGAGAGTCTCAAACAGCATTTGAGCTGTGAAGTTCAGGTAAGTGATCAGCTCTGCACAAGTGCTCATCTAAGCAGGCAAGTTGTGGCAACAGCTTCAGTTGTGTGGGAGAAATGGTAATTCAAGGTGCTGATTTGCTGTGCTAAGTTACCTTCACACTAAGCACAGATTTCACTGGCCATATTGAACTATCAAGACACCATTCCAAGGGTCATGAGAGCAGGCAATTCCAAAATGTTGGAAATCAAACAAATGAGGCAGAAGGCTAACTTGAGATCTTCTTCTGGAGCTAAGTCAAAAAAGTAAGGTTTATGCTGAGTGGAAGCAAGGTCATGTGGCATGGGAACAATTCAGTGAGAGATGCTGCTCACCATCGTAACAAGAAAATTCACTTGGCCAAATCTCAATTGGAGTTGCATCTGGCCAGAACTATGGGGAATAAAAAGAGTGTTTTAAAAAGAGTATCAATAAAAACAGTGTTTTAAAATATATTAATGGCAAAAGGCAGTGTAGAAATAACATCAACGTCTTACAGATCAGGATGGTCATCTCACAAACAGGGACATGGACAAGGCAGAGTGTTTAATGCAGTCTTTGCCTCTGTCTTCAGTATGGATGGCAGACCACGGGGATCTCAGTGCCCTGAGATGGAGGACCATGACTTTGAGACTGCTCCCATTTAAACTTGAAGTTGTGTAGGATCAGCTTTTTAAGCTGGATCCCTGCAAATATATGGGGCCTAATGAAATTCATCCAGGATACCTCCAGCAGTTTTCTGATGTCATCACAAAACTTGTCTCGATGATATTTGAACAGTCTGGAGAGATCCCAGTTGGCTGGAAACTGTCCCAGTTTTTAAGAAGGGCAAAAAGGATGACACTGGGAAACCAGAAACCACAGGTCTGTCAATCTCATTTCAGTGTCTGGTAAATTTACAGAGAAAATGGTTCTGGGAAGTACTGGAAAACATCTGGAGGACACTGGAACCATCATCATCACAGCCAGCACAGCTTCATGAGAGGAAAGTCAGGCTTGTCCAACCTGGTTTTCTTTTATGACAGGATAACCCACTTACTTGATCAACAGAAGCCAGTTAATGCAATCTTTTTTTTTATTTCATAAAGCTTTTGATACTGTCTCTCTCAGGACCCTCCTGCAGAAAATGTCCAGCCCACAGCTGGATAAACACATCATATGGTGGGTGAGCAGCTGGCTCATGGTCAGGCACAAAGGGGTGCAGTGAATGGGGTGACATCAGACTGCTGTGACCTGTCACTGGTGGGGTTCCACAGGGCTTCATCCTTAGCCCAGTGCTTTTCAACGTCTTCATAAATTACTTGGACATGGGACTGGAGGGGATACTAAGCAAGTTTGCTGATGATACAGAACTGGGAGAAGGTGCTGACTCCCTTGAAGGCTAGGAGGCCCTACAGAGAGACCTTGACCAATTATGGGACTGGGCAATCACCACCTGTATGAAGTTCAACAAGGGCAAGTGCTGGATTCTGCATCTCAGATGGGACAACCCTGGGTGTATGGAGCACCTGGGAATGAGAAAATGGAGAGCAGTGCCTTGGAAAGAGACCTGGGGTCCTGGTCAAGGGCAAGTTGAACATGAGTGAGCAGTGCCCCGGCAGCCAGGAGGGCCAACTCTGTCCTGGGGTGCATCAGGCTCAGCATCAGCAGCCAGGCAAGAGAGGCACTCTGCTCTGCACTGGAGCAGCCTCACCTTGAGTGCTGGGGCCAGTTTTGGGTCCTCAGTATAAGAAAGATATGAAGCCTCAAAGCTGCCAAAGGAGGGCAGTGAAGATTATGAAAGCCTTAAGGGGAAGTCATGATGAGTAGCTGAGGTCTCTCGGTTTGTTCAGCCTGGAGGAGAGGGAGGAGCTGAGGGGAGACTTCATTGCAGTCAACAACTTTCTTGTGAGGGGAAGAGGAGGGACAGGCACTGATATATCTCTGACAATGTGTGGGAATGGCCTGCAGCTATGTCAGGGAAGGTTTAGGCTGGACATTGCAGAGAAGTTCTTCTTCACCCAGAGGCTGGTTGGGCACTGGAACTGGCTCCCCAGGGCAATGATCACAACACCAGCCTGACAGAGTTCAAGAATCATTTGGACAATGCTCTCAGGTACATGGTGTGATTCTTGTGGATGGTCCTGAGCAGGGCTAGGAATTGGACTAGATTATCCCTGTGGACCCCTTCCAACTCAGTTAATTCTATTATTCTGTGAGGCAGTAAAAATCCCAAACCAAACCTAAATGTTGAGCTGTATGAAAATTGTGAATGGAAACTTTGTGAATGGAAAGCTTCCCTTTAGAACAATGTCCTGTCAGGGTTGGCAGGAGTGGTGAAAGAGCTTACTGTATGAGATTAAATGCAAAGGGCAAGGGGCAGGAGAGGTAGGATTTTGTAACTGTCTCTTTCAGGCTGAGACAGCAGGCTAAATCTAGTGTCTGTGTACAGGTGGCTATGCTAATACATCTTGGGAAACACACCAAAAGGTCCTGTGAGTCCCTAAGGTAGCAGCATAGTACCATTTGGAAGGAAGATGCCAATTTCCTTTTCTGTAGGTCCTTACAATTTCTTTTTGTTCACGCACTGGTGATGCCTTCATTCTTGTTCCTAGCAAAAGACATGTGAGATGGAGGGGAGGTGAAGCATGAGGTAACTGGTCCTTGTTCAGGTATGCAGCCAGTAGCATTTGTTTTTGATGGTGTCTTTACTTACACCCAGCATGGAAGGAACAGCTTTCATTGCCTTTTCTCTGAGGAAGTACTGCATAAGATTGAAAAAAATTAGTTGCTTCTTGCAGAAAATTTATAGTTAGAGAAGTACCTTTTGAGTGCTGTCAGATGAGAGGTGAAGCCAGAATACCGATGTGCGGCTACTTCATACTTCATTATTATGTGCATTCATTCTTCAGAGATAATGTTGCAGAAGCTTTTGAATGGTTTTGACTTCTGTGGTTTTATTTCTTGACAGAAATTGCCAAATTGATTTCTTTTAAAGCAAAATTTCCAGTAGTATTTATCTAACTTCAAATGTCAGGTCACTGAAAGACCAACTTTGTTGTGGTTGAAATCAAAGTAGAAGTGTGTTGATTAATTGTAATAGAAATCAAGGGCCCACAAAGTCCAGGGGAAAATGGCCTTTTGCACACATGCAGGTCCTGGATTTCCATTCTGATTGCTGAGTCTTGAGACTTTGGTGGTGTTTACTGGACCTGTAAAAGCATAAATCCATACAAGTAAAGCCCCCCTCTCAATTTCATGATATTATGCTGTTCCCAGCTAAGAGCACTGGCTGGCCTTTTGCAGAAGCGTCTGGTTCATTTTGTGGTGAATCATCCATCAGCTCAGTGCATCATCGTCAGAGTTCTTGCTGTTTCTCCATTTCCATTTTTATTAAATGACACATCTTACCTGCTTCATGTGTTTGTCTCTCACGTTGTGGAGCTCCATCTCCAGATATGGAAGTCATAGGAATGCTTATTTATTTAATTTGTAGGAGGATTCTGTTATGATTCTCCTCTGTGAGGATTTGTTTATTCAAAGGATTCTCAAAAGCCAGTCACATTCTCTTCTTTATTTCCCCCTTTATATTCCATACTTCAAAGCTTTTTGACTTCCTGCCCTTAAATAAATGTTTTTACCAGAACTTTATTATTTTGTTAGAAAATGTAAAATATTTTCTTAAATACTTTTTTCCTCTGTCAGGAACATAATAGCTTGGCTGCTGTTTTGCCACTTTCAAATACAAGTTAACAATCAGTACAGATATTTACATCCACCTTCCCTGACTCCCAGCACACTGAGATCGCTGTAATTACAATGCCTGCACCATGTCTTTAAGTGGATATATCAGGGGCAAGCTACTAAATAAATCCTATGAATGTTCTCAGGACCTCCTGCCCCAACATCTGTTTCTGAGACCTTTCAGGGGTCTTCTGTTACCATACCCTCATTTTCTTCCTTGCCGAATTGTTTTGTGGAAAATGATGCAATCGGAGCAAACAGAATGAAACCTTCCTGTTGGAGAGGGAAAACTCTGGTCCAGATGAGGGATAGAACAAATGGGCATGGGGCACAGTAAAGTGAAATTTTTCCAGTTGAAAAAGAAATGTCTGAACAGATAGCAACCTTCATCATTCCCTGTGAGTGACATAGCAGGGAAACATGCCTTGCTGCTGTCATAGCTTTCTCATCTGCTTCTTTTTGTTAAGGTTTGGCCTTTTAGAAGATTTTCCCACATGCCTAGTGGTGGCCGTGATGGTGCAGTCTGAACTTAGACCCTGCTTTGGTTTCTCCCCTGTGGATAAGAAAAGCAGGACCTGCTGGTGGGAGTGGAGGATTGCAGCAGAGCAGGAATTTTGTTGTCCTTAGTTTAGTGCACTTTATCTCCATGCATGCCTGAGCACATAGGATCTCAGAATGTGTGAGCACAGCTTTGGTCTCAGCATGACTAAAGTAGCAAGCTTTCATTTGATGGTGTTACTTGGAATGGGAGCCAACACTCATTGGAGCATCAGGATTTGTGTGCTGCAGAACTGAGTGCCTCTAATTACACAGGCCTCAGTCTGCCTGAAATCCTCTTTGTTTAATTTACATTAGCCACTGTTGTCCATATCCACATTAGGCACCATTGTTCGCATACATGCTGAGCTCCTGGTTTTCAAGGCCAGCAGAAAGCATTAAGTTACTGAGGTGGTCTCTCATGTGCCCCTGCAGAATTTCTTTGAGACTAATTTGGGCCTTTCTTTTCATTTCCCAGAAAAATCGCTATGAGATTTACGTTGGCCTACTGAAAGAAGGGGTGAAGGAGCTGCTGAGTGGAGGAGAGAACGATGCGCCAGGACTGAAGAAATCCCACTCAAGTCCTTCTTTGAATCAGGAGTCTCCAGTTAGTGCCAAGGTGAAACGCAATGTGTCAGAGAGGAAGGACTACAGGCCAGAAACACCCAGCATTAAGCAGAAGGTCACTTAGGGTGCAAATGACAACTAGGGGAACAGCCATGCAGCAAAGTATTGGTGGTCAAAATTTTTTCATTTAATAAGCTGTCATTCACAAAAAATAAGTGCATCTGCCTGAATGGGGTGTTAGTGACATTTTCTATTGTATATTTTGCTGTTTCTGTGCAGATTGTGGGAGATGTCTTTGCTCCTGCTTTGCTTTGCTTTGTTAATTTATCATTTAGCAATTGAAGCATCGGGACTTTTTTGTGTTATTCTGTTTCTAAAGGAGCTGGGGAAGGGGTAGAGAGCTGTGACGTTTATTCTATCTCCTCCCCATTTATCTCCTCCCATCGGCATGTGGCTTTCATCTCTCAAGTCACTTGTCACTTTATTTACGTGGTGGGTGGGAAAAATAACTGGACAAGTGCTGCAGTGCTGTGAATGTGAGCTGTAGCTGTGAGAAAAGCTGTGCAAACATGCAGCTGCAGGAGGCTGACTATAGGGTAGGGTGCTGGGAGCACTAGTTTCCTGACAATGTAAGGCATGTTGGTACTGGTACTGAGCAGCAGGTAGTACAGTAAATAGTCACTGTTGCTTATTGTTACTGCATTGACCCTGGACACTTTGCGTGTGTGAAGGAATGAACCTGGAAACCTCTGGCAATGCTGAGATGACGGCATTGGAATAATTTGTTTGCTTCCTCCCAAGCAGGGAGCCTTCTCCTGAGTTTGCAGCCTGGAAGGCATCCAAACCCATGCTGTCTCTGCAGTCAGGAAGATTAGGGATTACCCAGTTGGAATGGCTATCTGGGCTTCACATTTATTTGCAGAGAAGGCTGCTGTAGATGTCAGCCATTAGCATTATATATTAATTATATATATTAAAGACAAAGGGCCTCTGTGTAGTTTTTAACTATACGCTCTTACTTAGCTGCTATATAGAGCCTTATGATATATTGTGTCCTGTCGCTTCCCCTTCCGGGGGTTTCCTTGTTGGTGTGCAAAGAGAGCTGCTTTCAATTCCTCTCATAGTGACAAAGCACTTTGCCTTTTTCTTCAGAACGGGATTCTCCTCAGTTCTCCATTTTTCTTCTTTAGCTCAAATATAGGTGGAAGAGGCTGGTGCCTCCTCACAGTTCCTGCATACCCTGTGCCAGACTTTCCAAGGGAGCACAGATCTGGGAGAGACCACCATGGGTAGGTCTTTCCATACCTGAAAGGTACACTCTACACCCTGTTTGTGCCATAGACCCTTGGGGTGGCCAGCAGTTTTTCAGGCACAGAGAGCAGAAAGATGCCATAGAAATAATTTTCCTACTTCCCAGCCCCTCTTGTGTGGGCAGTGTCATGGATCTGCAGAGAGTGCTGGCTCTCCTGTTACCCAACTTGTTGCCTGAGTTTTAATCTCAGTTTTTATACTGGCCTACAGGGTGAGCTTGGACAGGTCTCTCCCATTTTGACAGGTCTCTCACCCTTTCCCTATATGAAGTAGTACTACCAAACTGGCCTTTCCCACAGAGCGCCTTGGGAGATAATGTTGAGGGCCAGTTGAAAACTGCTCCTTGCTGTTTGTTCTGTTGTGCCTGGCACAGGACAGCCTTCTTGTTGAATGCAATTCTTGGTGCATATAGAAATGTCAAGATCAATGCAAGGACTGTTTAGAAATGCACTGGTGTTTTCAGCCCAAGTAGTCAAAGAGCTGTACATCAAAAAAATTGCTATCTGAGTGGATGTGTGTTCTGTCAGGCTTCCCAAGGGTCCAAGTCAATTCATCTAGTTTTACTGAGCTCCCAGTCCAGTGGGCAGAACTAAGAGTGATCAAAGAGAAAACGCCCTTAACAGCCACTGCATGACTTGCCTTCCCTACTGAGTACCACCATGCAACAGCTTTTGTAGTGTTGTGCTGTCTGTTGGCTGTAACAGTGATGTTGCATTCTCAGATGTAAGGTTTTGGGGCAAATTGATCCTTGCAGCTGCAGCCTGGTAGCGAAGCCAGATGAGACTATTCTCATGAGTGATGTTGAGATGTGCATCCATCTGGCATCTGCCACAGTTGAGGAATGCGGAATACACCTCTGGGAAGAAAACTTGACCTCCCTTTTATGATTAAGGAGTGGTATTTAGTGTTCCCACTGAGACTCTCCAAACTACATGGCCCTTGCTCACTCCCTCCTCCTCCCATCCTTGCAGTGGGCTGGAGAGGAGAATTGGAAGGATAAAGGGCAAAGACCACAGGTTGAGATAACAAAATTTACTGGAAATGGCAATGAGATAAGAAAATGAATGGTAAACAACAGCAGTATTAATAACACAGTGCTCAAGAATACTCACCACGCAGAACCCAACAATACCCAACCGTTTGCTTCCCAATACTCCGACCCAGGAGGGACATCTTCTCCTGTTCCTGGAAAATGACATGAAGTGGTATAGAATAACTTTCAAGTCCAAGCCATGATCCTGCCGGGCTACTGCATAAATTAACCCTGTCCTGGCCAGAACCAGTACATCATTCTGTGAATTATTTTATATTACCATAGGATACATGCAGCAGAAACAAAACCCAAAAAAAGGTGCAGATCTATAAATGGCCCTGCTTGGCTGTCAGGGTTGGGTTGAGTAGATGGTCTTTTTGAAGGCAGGCTAGAACATGCTTGGCAAACCTCTTGTATTTATGGAGTGCAGTGCTCCAAAGGCAAAGAGGTGACATTTTACTTTCTTCTTCCCTGGCTTTAAACATATTTTGGTTGCTGAAAATTCCAGTTAAATTGCTGAGCTCAAGAAGAAATTACTCCTGTTAAATGCATTTTCCAGCTTTGACACAGAAACTGGGTAATTCCTCTTCAAAGTCATTGCAGGAAAGATGATTTGAAGCAATAGGAAAAGTCAAAAAGTGAACTGCAAAAAGGATGTTTTTTTCATTATTTATTATCTAATTCCGTGTGTACTTGTAAACAGATAGGGTATTTTTTTTAGGTCTCATCTGAATGTATCAAATGCAGATTTTAATTTTTGCATTTTTTAGTCATTAAACATTTGTTGAGCTTAGAGCAGTCTTGCTGAGGCTGTTGAGGCATGCAGATCAGTTTACCCAGAATTTATAGTTTCTGCTCCAGTTTTACTTAATGCCATTTTCCTTTGTTGCTTTACAATGTATAAGCATGCCAGGCACCTGTGTAGAAATGCACACTTTGGAGAACAAGAAAAAAATGTGATCCTGTTGCAAAAGTCTAAGACTCCTGCCCTTCCTTGGGAATAGGTTCATCTACCAATCAGTATTGTAATTAGTTTTTTCCCTCCAGATCATACTATATAGGATAGGGCAGATTCTCAGGTGGTCTAAGTGGCGCATCTCCTTGAGTAGCACCATTAAGAATCTGACCAGGGAGGTTTGCATGGTACCCTGCACCCTGCCTTTCTTTGCGGAAAGATGTTTCCCTCTAGGGAAGATCAGTCAGTGCTTGACTGCAGCGACTCAGGAGCTCTGGTTGCAGTATGTAAGAATATTCTGCTGGTTTCCAGCCTGCCTCTGGGACATGAGCTACAAATCACTGGAGCAGCCTGCAGTTTCCTGGGTGTACTCAGTGTAAGGAGCTACTGGCTGGCTGCCATGAGCATGTGTGCATGTGGGAGAGCCTTTGCATTGGTGACGCAGGGAGGTGCCATCCTTCCTGGTCACCCTTCCTGCTCCAGTGTGCTATCATTGCTCAGGCAAGGCCTCTGCCTGCATGTAGAGAGTGGGGATACAAAGAGAGGGAGCAGGCTAAGGCTAACACCTCCTTACTTCCCCTTAAGAGGCAGATACTGGTTCTGGGGGGACTCACCTGGCTCTGAAGCGTTGCTGGCTCCAGGGGCTGAACCGTCTGCTATCCCCTACTAAGGGAGGAGAGACAGGAAAGGGCCCCACTAGTATGCACCTGACAGCAGAGGGCTGATGGAGAAGGGGAAAACTGCCTTCCCGTCTCCCCACCCAGCAACCAAAGTGGGTGAAATACTCTCCTGAAGCCAAAACCATACTCTCCTCTATGATTCAGCAGGATGCAGGGATGCAGGGGACTGTTTGAAATGGGTTTTTTTTTTCATCAGCGGCTGCTAAAGGGACTCCCTGGACTAGTTGTTTGTCTGCATCTTGCAGATAAATTACACATGAACCAGTGAACATGACTACAGCTTCTAAATCCAGTATTTATGTTGTGTCTTCAGTTGATGTAGGGAGGTAAGTCAGCCAGCAGAGTGATTAATGCAGCAGAGTTGTGCGGGAATGCTGTTCAGCTGTGTTGCCAGCTCAGTTTTTCATCTGTAGCCAGTCACTTGTAAATGGTTACCAGAAACTTTCTAATGATTAGTAACAGCTCCTCACTAAAATACTTCCCCTCTGATCCTGCCTGCTCCCAGGTTGCAGTCTGTCCGTGTTAAGGGGCTCTCATGGACAGCTGTGCCCTGCACAGCCCTGCTTTGTGGAGGAATTTGGCCCAACAGACCTACAGGGACTGTTCAGTGACTTTTCACAGCTCTGCCTTCGGATAACAAGATTGGTTGCTTTTCTGGCTTGAAAAAGCCAAAACTTTTGCCTTTCTCGAGTGAGGAAATAAGGTTCTTGCTTGACTGGAGTAGGCCATTCAGTGAAGATGTGGCTATGACAGTGGAAGAAGTCAGAGATGGTTATCATCAGGCTTCTTGGAAGCATTGTATGGCATTGTTCTCCTTGAAAGCGAGAAATGCTTTTCTCTGCAGATGGCTTACTGCTTACTGTGTCTGCATTCTCCATTTTAAAATTAATTTTGGTCTTATTACAGTTAGTCTGACAGCTCCTCCTCCTTTTCTGACAAGCTGCTCTTGTCTGTCATCTTAGCACCTCAGCTGCTTCTGTATAACAGGTCTGTTTCCTTCCCTGCTTGCAGAAATCCAGAAAATTTGACTCTCCCATCTTGCATTGAGAAAACCTGCTCTGAAGCAGTGCTGCATTGAGTGGATAACCCTGTGAACAGCTTTTTCACTCTGCTTGTTGGTAGCCTGTGTTTCCAGCCACAGTTATAGCTGGGAGGTGCGAGACCGAGTTTTAGACTGCTGTGATCCTCTAGTTCTATTCTGCAGGGATGCAAAGTCGCCCTTCCCACACTTAGACCAGACACTTGCAACATTCTTACTCTTCTAGTATCCAGGCTGTTGGAAACACTGTCTGCTTCTGCGGGGTCTAAGGCAGTATACTCGTATTATGCCGAGAAATCTTGCAGCTTGCTGCTTGTTTAAATTTTCTCCAGTATTGCTCTCCCCAGGCTCTGGGACATCACATCTGCTCTGAGGGGGCAGTTAAGAAGTCCACATTTCTTGTCAGAGCACAATCATTGCTCCTCAGCATGTGTTCTCAGCATCTGGTATCTAGGCTTCCTAGAGGGATGAACCATAGAAGCTGTCTCAGAAAAAGCTAGTCTGCAGCTTGTGCTTTTTACAGGATATTTTTAGTGCATATAGAAGCAGTACGTCTGGCCTCTCCTGTCCTCCCAGAGCTCTCCCAGCAGCATAGGTATAGCATAGTGGGTTGCTTCACTTGGAGCTTGTCTGTGGAGACCTGGGCTCCAGGAAGAAGAGGCTTTGTCAGCCTTCAGAGAAATGCTACCAGCTGAGCATCAGTGCACAGCACAGTGATGCTGTGTGAAGAAGCCAGTGCCACCCTCCATGGCTGGTCACCTGCTGGAGACTGTGAGCTCTAACATTGCCCTCAGTGTTGGAGGTAATGAGAAATGCTGGCTTCCTTTTTTGTCTAGTCTGTGCTGCTTGAGGAACTGTCTTTACCACCCGCTGCTTTTCTCCCTTGTGACAGGAGCACCCCTATCCAGGGATACCACAGTTCCTTTGTGAGAAGATTGGTTAACATGAGAGCAAGGAGGAGAGGTCTTTGGAAAAAGTCTGAATGCCATCTGGGAGTATCTGCTCTGCTGATGGCAGCATAGAGTTGAACGTTGAAAGGCCTGGCCTTGCCTGAGAGAATGTCCCTTGCTCAAATATTTTGTTAGCTGAATTAAGGTTGTGTTTTAGTTATTTATTCGAGCCCATCCCTTACCAAATGCAAGCAAGAACTTTCACAAAGGTTAGACCATTGACCTGACTTTGCCCTTGTGGTCTGAAGGAGCAAATTTAGACTAGTCCAATGTGTTCTTTCTTGCCTGCCTTTGAGTGCTTAATTATTCTATAAAAATTATAGATGTTTAATCAATGAGGGACCTCCCACGGCATATGCTTTTAAAGCGAGCCAGAAACCAGCTGGAGTGCAGGCCAGAGGTTTATCTGCACCAACAAAGGTACATCACTTAGCAATGCAAGCATTGAAAGTGCAACAAGCCACAAGGGCAGGATTTTTCTCTGACAGAAACCACTGTAATTCGTAGCCACTCTGGCAGTCATCCTGTCTGTACCTCACAGATGAGACTAGCACAAGAAGACAATTTTTGTTTACACAGGCAAAGTTTCAGCTTGGGCCAATTGATATCATGGTGTAGTGACAGAGCAGCTAGCTAAGCTGCCATGAAGACCTGTTTAACACAAAATCCTCCAACTCCCCTTAGCCTCTTGGTGGAAGAGGGAGATAAATGGTATCAAGTCTGTGTCACTACGCAATGCAAACTCTACTGGTAATATAAGTCTTAACTCACACACTTACGAAATTCTCATACTCAGAGCTGTCAGATTCTGAAAGACTGTAGGATGAGAACAGGGGTGGGTTGTGGTTGGGGTTTTTTTTAAATTTGTACATATTCATGACAACTGTGTCCTCTTACTTGAGTCTAGAATTATAATTTGGCTAAAAGGACAGAGTTTTTTTGGCTGTTGAAAAACTTTTAAATCACTCCTCTCTGTGAGGTACACTCTGAGACTTACATTACTTGGTGAACATGTTTAATTGATGCCTATAAATGTGTGTATTTCCTAAGTATAGTATGGCTTCTATGGCTCAGCACTGCAGAACCTGCTGTTCTTTTCTGGGGCTTGTTTGGTCAAAGCATTCAGCAGCTGCAAACATTGTTAGGATGCTTGTTGTTCTAATTGTTCTCAAGTGAGGTTAAACAGTTATCAGAGTTTTTGCAGATTTAAGGTATACTTTGAGCTGCTTTGATCTTCATGCGTTGTCCACCAGGGGCTGCCTGTTGTTTTGCATGTTGAAAGCAAGGCATATATTTGAGAGTCTAAGCAAGAGCTAGTGGGTGGAATTTTCTGCTTGCTTAACACTGGGCTGACTTTCTCCCAGTTTATATCAACTGATGCCTGTACAAGGAGCATCCATGCTGACTTCTTCTGAAAATCATGCTCTGGGGATCTAATACACAGCTTTACTTCTGAAAATGTTGACCTTGTTCTGTGAAAATTCAGCAAAGGGACATCATGTCCAAAGTGTCCAAGAAGGACAGGTGCCTGTGATGTCTCCTGCAGATATAGCAGTACGGCAGTAGTGAGGGGTTTATTTTTCTACAACTGTTCAAATTTCCAGAAGAGTGGCTCATCAGCAGGGAAGAGAAGAGCAGCAGGGCTGAGATATCTATCTTGGGCATCTCTTATGCCTCCCAGAGGTTTGTTTTGAGAGCATTGAACAACCTTTTAACAAGTTGCTGGTCTGAGGCAAAAGGCATAGGGAAACCCAGTGAGTTTTCCTATTGCATTCTAGTAAGGGAAACAGTAGCACGATCTGCATTATTCTTGCAAAGAGAGAGAAAAAGCTGAGGGTGTGATTATTACATGGAGTCATAAAACTCTTTAGCATGCAATCAGGTTGAAGCACTTGAGCAACTTCAATAGTGAAACTATAGCTTTGCACTTCACTGGACCACAGCCAGAGTGATTGCGCCTTGCAGAACTGAGACGTGAGCGAACTGGAGCTCAGAATGAAATTAAGAAGACCACCGTGTCACCTTGCTTTGGGCAAGCTGCAGTCCTAATCTTTTTTCAGGTACTGGGTTTCTCCCTTGGGTTTCCTGCCCTCCATGGTGGTGGGAAGATGGGGGTGAGCACTGTCAGTTTCAGAGTCACAGTTAAGAAGTGTCATTTACCCTCCACCTGAGCTGTTGCTATGTTGTTTTCCCTTAGGCTGAGAAAGAGGACTGAATTTTCAGTCAATGTTGCTTGGTAGCCAATGGGAAGCATCTCAGCAGTGGTGATGCAGAAAAACATTTTGCACATGCATGTACATACACCCTATACATCTCTTGTGTGCAGAACTAACCTTACAGGACTTGACAACAGTCCTTGCAAGACCTTTCGTCTGGGTGGTCTCCAATTGCTTCTGTGATGTGTAGGAACCTTCTTTCTGGTAACCTTGAATTCAGTTTACTGTCATCACTGAATTGCTGGAGTGTTTTTCATGTAATACACTAGAGACAGTCCCATTCTCACTGCTTTGTGGTAACTTCTTGGTCTGCTGTGAAGCAACAATATTGAGGTAGCCATTAAATCTTTTCCAGCAGCATGGAACTTGCTGTTCTGACTCTGGGGAGGTCATTATCTCAGGTTTGACACTATCCTACCACCAGGATACCCTGTTTTGTCCCTGGGAATAGGCATGGCCAGAAAGGCGTACTTGGTGGTTAGAGTCAGAGCTGTGCAGACTTAAATCAAGCCCTGGTTCAGGGAAGATTTTTCCATGTGCTGCTGATATCCATAAGGACTCAAACATATACTTGCTTACACAGAGATGCTTTCCTGAAGCAGAGTTGTCAGTCTTTTCTACAGGTATCACAGGATGCCCTCCCTTATTCTGCTTCATGTATCTGGTACTAGAATGATAATTTCCTGATAAATGAAGGCACTTAATCAGTCCTCTTCCCCTTGGAAGAAGGACTTTTGGGGATATTGTTATATCATTTAAAATAATATTTTGGAATTTAAGTTTACATTGCTTTATTTTTCACTTGAGGTGACTGTATATAAATATTTTCCTCTATTTTATCATTGCTGATAAAGTAAGCCTACAGTATACAGACAAATAATTTGCCTTTGATGTATTGAAACTGTGAGATAAAAAGTAGACTTCTCTCTTGTGTCCATGTTCCTGACTATAACTCTGTTCCTCTGTGTTTTTATAAGTTGGAATAAATGTTGCTTACGGGCAACAAAGAGCCTGCAAGCTTCCCAATAATTTTTGTCATTGAACTCAAGCAACCCTATTGAAGGATCTCACATATGTATAATGATATATGTATATGTACAAACTTTAGAAAGAAATAAACCAAATGTATTTCGCGTTCTGCAGCTGAATGTTTTTTATTGGAACCCTAACAGTTGCTCCTACAACTAAGAACATGAAAGTGGCTTTAAAGTGAATGACTCTTGGCAGTCAGTAGTTTCAAGGTTTCCTGAGCTGAAGCACATGTGTACTGTCTGCCTTACAGTCTGGATCTGACCCGCAGTTGGCGTAACCAATGGAGCCAGTGGCAATTTGTGCACACCAGTCCTATGTGAGGGCAGCTGGAGCACATCTCTCTTCCTTCTGCACCTGTACAAGAGGTGGCACCCATTCCAGTTTCGTCAGAGAGTATAGCCTGCAGAGCTACCACTGCTTGCTGTGAAGAGACAGCAAAAAGAGCATTAACTGATTTAAAATGGGTTTACCAGCACGTGGATTAAAGGAGCAAAGCTGCAGCAAACAGCTGCTCAGAAATGACTGGGAGTTGATCTCAACATTTGTATGAGGAGGTCACTGTTGAGGTTGGGAATTGCTGTTGACGTGGTGTATGGGAAGAAAGGAGCCATGACAGGCAGAAGAGTCTGACCCTAAAGAAAAAGATGGAGTATAAAAAGGCAGAGGTGGGTGTGGTTAAGAAACTGTGCCTATCCAAAGTAAGGAGAAACACTCTGTACAACACACAGCAAATAGCATTGTGCTTGCAGTTCTTGGGCTGGACATAGCTCAACATGAGAAGTTAGCATGCTTTGTGGAGGGTGGGTCACAGGGTAGATGGAGAGGATGTGTCCAGCACAAATGGGGCATGCCCAAGATTTACAACAGGGCTAGCAGCTTGTACTTGGAACAATAGAAAGGAAGACATGTTTTTTCTTACCAAGATTTCTGTGACTGACTATCTTGAGGTGACTGTTTCTTTATATTTTTCCTCAGCATGTTGCTTTTAGATGAATGGTAAGACTTTCACACTTGAGATAACTGTGTGTGTGTGTGTGTGTTTGTTTGTTTGTTTGTTTTTTCACACTATGCCTTGGAGTATCAGATTTTTTCATTGTTACACCATCCTGCATTTCTTCAAAGGACTTGGGGATTTTTTATTCCAATGCAGACTTCTGGATTAATATGTTTTTAATGAAAAGACTAAACAAAGTGGTGGTAAGGATGGGTGGGAGTATTTTACAAAGATGTATTAAAAGCCTCCTCTAAGCCCAAATGAATGTTTGAACTGTGTCTGAATGTTAATGTCAGTACTGCTCACCACATCTTTTCTTACTGTTTCTTCCTAGCTGACAGAGTCAACGCTGAGCATTTTCTGATGGTTTTTCTACCTGGAATCATTAGTCACATCACGTTGCTCACAATGCAGTGAGCTAGAACAAAATGACAGAACAAGTGCAAACTGAAAGACAAATGCATTTATATTCTCTTCATTGTCCATTTTCAGTTCAAATTTCCAAGTACAGAATATAATTATCAAGTAAGACTAAAAAGGCTAGTTTGTGTATGCAGGAGAAACCTCCACAGTCTACAGCAGTCACAGTCTACACATTTCTTTGGGTATTCATAAATAATGTGGCATGAGAAAGAGACTTAGCCCAAAGTAATGCACAGTTTGGTCTGAAATTGTCATGATTATCTCTAGATTGGAAATAAGAAGAAAGTTCTTACCCATCAGAGCACTGATGTACTGCAGTGGCCTCCTAATCTACAAGGTAAGGGCAGAAATACCCAGTGGCTTTTAAGGTAGAGCTGGAAGAGAAATCACGTGATGATAACCCAGGTTTTCATTTTTCAGGTCATTGCACATCGCATCTGTTTGTTTCCATGTTTGCTACTAAATCGGTGGTTCTCAAATTATGTCAGCCACTATGCTAACTATTTCTCCCAGAAAAAGGGTCATCCTAGAAAACATGAGTTACTGCAAAACAGCTATTCACCTTGCCAGGTTTTCTGTGTCATGGTCACATTCATTTTAGGACATTTTTTTCTGGTCCCATTCCACATTGATCTTTTGGATAGATCAATACATAAATGATGCAGGTTTTTTGTTTTGATGGCTTGGTCCTCACAATAAGATGCAAAGACAAAGAGCTAAATTGGGATCAGGTGAAGGAATCAAGACTAAGTAGACTTACTTGCCTTGAAGAATGGGGAGGTAATGTGTTGCTATTATGAACTGGAAGTTTTTGGGTATGGTTTTGTCCCCTCCTCCCAGGAGGGGTGTAATGAAGGGCTGAGTTTGCCCCAAAAACAACATTGGGAAGTTCAGACTTCGGGGCTTGTTTGTTGAATTTGGCTTGTGAGGATAAACTAACAACGGGTGTGTCTTAGGGAGGAACCTGGGCAGAGCAGGGGAGGCAGAAGAGTGGCAAAAAAGTTGTTCCAGGAAATAGAAACAGTAATGAATAAAGCAAAAAAATCAGATAAAGAACAAAAGATGAGGCAACCTTTTGAAAGGAGGAGTGCAGGCACCTACAGATATGTTGCTGATATGCAGCCTGATCTGCCAGGAAGTCCTTTTTTTTCAGGAGGACTGTATCTGAAAAACTTGCTTTGAGAGGGTGGGCTTCAGAGAGACAGATTTCCACTGTGGTGATATGTCATATAAAGAGGTAAACTGATGGATTTGTAAGTGAACATTGTGTTGAAGTGTAAGTTGATGTATGTGATTCATAAGATTGAAGAGTGTGAAATAAGCACTTTTTGTAATTGTGTGTAATAGGGCGGAAAATAGTATAATTGCATATTAGCAGTAGTGGTGTGTTTGTTTGATAATCAGTATATTGATTACTTGATAGATTGACCAGTTCCTTAGTAGCGTGTTGCCTAATCACTAAAGCCTGTAATTTTGTTATAACACTTACATCTTGACCTTGCAATCTAAATGGAGGAGGTTCTTCCTGAAGTAGCAGTTATATTGAGGGAAAGAACATTTCCTACCTAGTCTTAACTTGCTTCAGCCACAACACATTGACCATTGCAAGGACACTTGCAGGAATGTTTGTAAATATTTGAATTACGTCACTGACCCAGGCCACAAATCTCAAGAATGCAAACAGCGTAGAAATGACATATTGGGAAAGTGAGGTCTGTGAGTTAAAATCTCAGGGAAAGACTTTCATAGTGTACAAGCACTGTTTTCTCAGCTAATACTGCTTGTCTGCATGTGTAAAGGTACTGAAGGGCCTTTATGATAATGCAGTCTTAAAATGTAGGGGAAATGTACAGATGGCTAAAAATTTGTGGAAGAGAGCAGAGTATAGCATCAAAGACTGGAAACTCTGTGGACAAGAAGATTTCAAGGAGGGTTTGCCCAGAGGGAGAGCATTTGTTTGAAAACCAGAGGTAAGACAAAAACTGAACAAGACTATAAAGAAAAAGCATGGGAGGCAACTGAACAGTAGGCAGATTAATTTACTACTTGTAAAAGACAATCCATTAATAAAAAAAGACCAGCCTCTTGTGAAGGCTCCCTAACCACTCCCTTCACCAGCATGCTCTTTGGTGAAAAGTTCTTATTCCCCCACTGTTTGCAGAGGGAGACATTTTGAATGCTGCCAGGGCTTGCCCCAGGGTCAGGAAAGCATGCTGTGCACTGGCTTTCAGGGGTGAAATTCTCAGAATTAGCCAAGGTAGATATTCCTTCCTGCACCTGATAGCTTGAAAGACAGCAGCATGCCTGGTCCTGCACACTGTGCTGGATGTGGCGTGTCTTTGCAGAAGGGACAGAAAGAAAACCCAAAACACATCTGAAGCCTGTTTTCCACTGTTACTATACTAAGATTGTTCAAAATAAGTGGTTTAGGGGGGTGGGTATGTTTTGCTTTCTTCCTCTCCAAAAAAATCCTTTTTGTTCAGCCAGAAATCATCTTTCTGCTCTACCTCAAAAGGGAAGTGTAGATATGCCCCATCAACTCTTTGGAAGGTGAATATTTTTAGTCAGCTCGGGTAATCCTCTCCTCTGCCCAAATGTCCAGTGTAAAATAAGTACACTTCTTCTTTTCAGGGTAATTCCAGTCAGGACTTGTAAACCAAGACGTGCATCACTGAACACTTACTGTGAGTGCAGTCTTCAGCACAGACATATGCCCTGTCCTTTGAGAAGAAATTATTTTGATTGAAGTGGTGGTGGGGATGCTGCTGTGAGAGTGGGTGCGTAGGTCTTGGTGTTCTCTGCTTCCTGTTCCATCCCATCTTGGGCTGAACTGTCCTAAGCACTCTGAAAGTGCAAGTACTGAGACGGGGGTGGATGGAGCCAATGCCATTCGCAGCATAATTACCTAAGCAATAAAGACACTAGAGATGCTCACCTTGGCAGAAATTTGCAGTGGTCTGTGCCTGGGACAGGAATACTTTCCATGTCTAGCTACTGGCACAGTTTGGTGGGGGCCTTGCAGCCAGCCAGTGATAGCAAGAATGGTGTAAAACCCAAGTCCTGTTACCACAGCCATACCCACACTGCGTTTCTCAGGCAACTGCAGTGTGGGTGGCAGTCAGAGGTTGTAATTGTTTCATGGGGGAAAAAATCCCATATACATACACACGCAGAATTAAAAAATGAAGTGCTCTTTCGTTTTAGCTGCAATTTCTGACTGCACTTTGGACAAATTGTCAGAATCTGCATTCCCGCTGGCAGGGAGCCAGGCTCCCTGGCACTCTGATTAAATGGTGTGTGGGCAAAATGTAGGCAGATGATGGGGACTTGGTACATTGAAACCTTACAGAGCTGTGTATTCCTTTTCTCTGCTTTATTTCTCTCTCCAAACTCCTTTCAGGCTAGTTTTTTGGCTGTCCTTTGCTAGATCCTTTTTGGGGTCTGAACATCCAGCTTGGGGAACTGAAAAGAGGCATGAAGCCACAGAGGTAGCTGCTCAAGGTACAGAATCCCTAGCTGCTTGTTCCCTTGCACATGAGCACATAGCCCTCTGAGTGAAGGGGTTGAGAGACCAAAATGTTGGGTTTCAGCAATATAAAGGGAATTTTTGCATGGAGATGGGATACCTCTTCTGAAGGATCCAGTCAGCCAGTAAGACATGCTTCTGGTCCAGCTTCAGCCTTTCTGGGAACT